GGTTTTGTTTTTGGGCTCCTTCCCAAAAGGCCTCATACTATGTGGAATGGTGGACACTTATAAACTAGCCAATGTTCCTTCATTTTACCGATGTGGGACTTGGGATGAATCCCAACAAACCTCCCCTCAGACCAAGGACCACATGTCTCGTGATCTCCTCCCCTCAAGCGATAATCCGTCACCATCTTGTACCGCCGTTAACTCTACGGGACACGCCGCCTGAACACCACAATATCAGGAAGACTTTCGACACAAGGCACCAAGTTCGAATCTCCATCGCGAGGCACAACACTGAGGGTCTTCCCGCATCAAACCCTGACGAACCGTTGGCTCTGATACCCACTTGTAGGGCCCGCTAGTCCACCCGTTCCTATGTGATTACTTCGTGGCACATGATTTGCATGGAAGCCCGGAGATGGAAGTTTTTGGGCTCCTTCCCAAAAGGCCTCATACTATGTGGAATGGTGGACTCTTATAAACTAGCCAATGTTCCTTCATTTTACCGATGGGGGACTTGGGATGAATCCCAACATATATAAATATAGTTGTTCATATCATTGTAATTGTCAAAAATCATTCTATCATTTTATTCAGGTGGTGTGTTTGTGGTATTCCAAGCTGTAAGGCCACAATGAATATATAGATTTCATGCTACATGATGATAGAACACCAATTGATAGATTGGTGAATAGTATTATCAAATCAATAAATATGCAGATGAGTTCTCTTTCCGGACTACAAGGAAACAACATAGCTTACTTTACTACACATATTTAATAATATATAACTGCTTCTAACTTTCTACCCATAACTGCCTTACTCCTAGCAATAATTCCCTCTGATCCATCAATGTATCCATTCCTATCCCACTTGAATCACAGTTCCCATTGCATGTCATATTAAAATACTTCTCTAGGATGCATGGAGATTTTGCCTAGGTGAGGTTTCTCTTTAAAATGCCTAGTTAATTATTGGCTGATTTGCCGAATGTAGTGAAAATAAATTAAATGGTTGATTCAATTGGTCTTGGGTTTGATTACTGGCACTACTAGTGAACTTTCATTGGTAGATTATTTGTAAGCACCATTTAGGCCCTACTATTACTAAGGCTTGTAGTATATCCTGATCTTGCAATAAGGCAAGCCCCCTCTCCTAAACTTTTATGCATAAAACATTAAAATAAAATAAAATCTTGCCATTACTTAAATTAGTCTCGTCAGATTCTATTTTTACTTCCAAATCAATATTAATTAAGCTTGAAGCAAAAAGGTATCTTTAAGATAACCAAATAGCATCAATCTCTACTTTCATTCCTCTCTTTTTGACTATTAGACCTGGCAAGAGCACTTTGTCATATTCATTACTTTCATGTTTTTATCACTCCAACATGCCATACTGTATATTTTAATTGTACCTTAAACCTTTAATTGGCTGGGAACAATAAAATGTAAGATTTTTTAAGCGACAAATCTCAACAACTTGCTTGTTGAAACAAGTTTATCTTGTTGGGATGCTGCTTACTTTCTTTCTAGTTGCCTCAAGTGATTGCACTAGTGAATAACATTTTATTATTATTACTATAGTAGCCAAATAGTGTGGCTATTCAGCATTTCACATAGCAAATATCTGTGCATAGTTTGTTTTTGGCATGTAGAGGTTCAAGCTTATTATGTCTTATCGCAGGTTGTGAAGATAAGATTGCAGCAGCAGAGAGGTCTAAGCCCTGAGCTTTTGAAATATAAAGGTCCTGTTCATTGTGCTCGAATGATAATTAGGGAAGAAGGCTTTCGTGGGCTTTGGGCAGGAGTTGCTCCAACTGTAATGCGTAATGGGACAAATCAATCTGCCATGTTTACTGCCAAAAATGCTTTTGATGTGCTTTTATGGAAGAAACATGAAGGGGATGGGAAAGTCCTCCAACCATGGCAATCTATGATTTCTGGATTCCTTGCAGGTACAGCAGGTCCTATTTGTACTGGTCCATTTGATGTGGTGAAAACAAGGTTGATGGCTCAGAGCCGAGAGGGGGGTGAACTGAAATACAAGGGTATGATTCATGCCATTAGAACAATATATGCCGAAGAAGGAATTCGTGCTTTATGGAAAGGTCTGTTGCCTCGACTCATGAGGATCCCTCCTGGACAGGCCATTATGTGGGCTGTGGCTGATCAAGTAATTGGTTTGTATGAGAGAAGATATCTTCAAACTTCAGCGTTGTAGTTTTTCTTTTCTTTGCATTATTTTTTACATTAGTTCCATTGCAAGGCTACAAAATTCATTTTAGCCTCTGTCTACCGTTTATTTACTTGAGTCCCTTGAATTTGTTGAGTGGACCATTAGGGTCCATAATTGCAGCCTAGAGTCAGTCACTCGAGAAGTATTCTCAGTAGTCACTCGAGAACTACTAGTTAGCATGCTTTTTCACGTGTATTTTTGGCTATATGTCAAGCGATCTAAAATAATCTCAAATTCTATTTTCTGGAAAGAAAATGTTATTGACAGCAATTACTTTTGTAAGAAATTTCAATACTGGTCTCCTTATGGAGAACAAACAAAAATGTTTGTGTTAATTTTTTAAATCACATCATAGTTCGAAATTGAGATACATGAATTGACTGTTTTTTCCTTCCACACTCCAAGGTCAATTATAATTTTGACAATCCTAATGTAAATGATCGAAAGGTTGCATGCCAACAATAGGAGTTTCTTTAGTGGACGCATATCTTGTGATTTGATTGTATGCGGCGGTCTTCCAATAAAAATCTCTTGATGGCTACTAATGGTTGAAGTGTTACTTGCAAAAATTTTGATGTTTCGGTGGGAGTCTGAGTCTAAAAGTGGGGGTAAAAGAAATTGTATCTTTTGTAGTATGATCCGAAGTATATATAGTTCCTTTCATTTTATTATATAGGAAATAAGTTGATTATCTTATCATTTTGGACAAGTCAATTACTTGTTAAGGATATGATGATGATTCTTAGATCTAGGATCGGAAATGAGTTATGCTGAGTTGTAACTCAACTTGATAATATTTAGTTCAATTTAAGTTTGACTTAAGTTTAGTATGAACTTTTTTATTTTTTTTTAAGTTTGAATTCACATCGGTTTAAACTCGGAAACAACTTATTAGCTTAAACATATGAACTAAGAGTAAATTTTTGTAAATCCTAATTATATATTTCAAATTTTTTATTTATTAATATATTTTAGAAAAATAATTGTTTTTAATTTTTTTCAAGATAAAATAGAACTTATTCTATTATCTTTAAGGCTAAAAGACATGAACCAAAAAATATATATAATTACAACCAAAGTCTTCACAAATAAAAAAATTTAAAAAAATATTTCATCTTATATAAAATAATAAAAAAATTCATTCTAATCAAGTCTTTTAGTCTAACATTTATAAGGCATGTTCTAAAATATGAAAGACAAATCTAATACTCCTAAAATCGAATTTTTAAAATAATACTCCTAGACAAAGGTTAGTTGTAGATAATAATAGGCTTGTCATGTGATGAACACTCATTGTCCCAAGAAACTTAAAGAACTCGACTGTGGCAGCCTCTAGCATCCACCTCCCTTTCTGGCCCTCCTTCATGATCGACTTTGCCACCTCCGTCTGAGGGACAATGGGTGTGATGTACGGTTTTAAAAAGTAAGGAAAAAAACAAACTGGAGTAAATAATTTTAAAAGGTGGAAAAAAAATATAGAGGTCTTTTTATCTGAATCATTAGATATTAAATTAATAAATCCAATGACTAAGATTTTACTGATCCACCATTCATCACATGAGTCCCTCGTCCAACTTAGCCTTCCTCACCTTTCAAACCAAATTTAAAAAGATGGTGCAGTTTTTGTAATTCCCAAGACAAATACTGAAAAAGTTGTCATCAACAGTTTATCATCTTTCATTTTAGCCTTTATAGTGGACAAAGAACAAATATTGGCTAATGAACCATTAAAAAAAAAAGAGGAACATATGGGAAGATGGGAGTGAATGCTGTGACAAATTTGGCACAGCCTCTACATATATCTTGAAATATGACCATCGAGGATAAAACAAAAGCAAAGTTCTATAAAAGCACGATACACTAATGGTATTAATTTATGCTAAAATGAAAAATCATTTTGAAGCACTAGCTCGCCGTCGTCTAAATTCATTTCTTATTTTCACCTATCTCCTTAATTTTTTCTATGAAATCCATCATGGTCTTCAAGCCCTTATCATCTGAAAAGGAAAAGAGAAAACTACTCATATCAATAACCAAACACAACATCACTGATATTCAGAGCAAATGAATAAAATATGAAATAAGAACCCATATGAGTACAATACAAATTCATATAGTAGCTTACCTAATCTTGGTATTGTGTGTCCCTTGGGGTGGTGAATCACCACTGCTTCAACACAGGATTCAAGTAGTTCAAGTCCATACTTCTTCAAAAAATCTGTCTCCCCTGCAGTAAGCATTGAAATTTTTTCAAGGAAGTTCTTTTTTTTTATTTATTTTATTTTATTTTATTTTAATTTCTAGTCAAACACTATAATCAATTCTAAGACCATGTTATTGTAACATGAATTTCATGCTTGTACCTATATATAGAACCTTTGCTTTGCCATCATTAAGGTTACGATTAGTATTTGGTTTCGACTTTTACTTGGAAAACTGGAAAATAATTATTTTATAATAGCCCATGATGATCCTCTTTCTACTATTTTACTTTCTTTTTTAATTTTATAATTATATATGCAACTAATTTAAACACGTACTAAATATTTATATAATAAGTTTAAAATATGAAGATTAAAAGAAACCGTGCAAAGCATAAATACAATTATTAGTCAAGAAACTACACAACTAAAAAGATTCTATAAAAGGAAAAAGATGGCTAGAAATCCATCATCTAGTACACACCAAGATAAATAATAAGAGAAGTATAAATATGATTGAAGCTGTGATTAATTAATAGGCAATGACTAATCTTAATAGGAACTAAGAGAGGGGAGGAAGTTATATATATATATATATATATATATATGAGGAGGGTTCAAACGACACCGGTATAATTTTTGAACTTTTACTAAGTGTTACACCGCTCAATAACTTTATATTAAATGTGAATTTTGTAAATCCAACCGTTAGATTGAAAGTTCATATCTCTTAGATCATATATATCAAATTTTGTTAAATTTGAACAACAACTTGAAGGCAATCAAAGTGTTCATATTTTAGTATATTTTGAAATGTATATATTACGTCAATTTTATTTTATGAGAATGAAGAAATTTGAACAACAACTTGAAGGCAATCAAAGTGTTTATATTTTAGTATATTTTGAAATGTATATATTACGTCAATTTTATTTTATGAGAATGAAGTATCAAATCATCTTAGATTAATATAAAATGTGATATATATGATCTAAGAGATATGAACTTTCAATCTAACGGTTAGATTTTGAAAATTCACATTTAATATAAAGTTATTGAGTGGTGTAACACTTAGTAAAAGTTACACTGGTGTCGTTTAAACCCTCCTCATATATGAGGAATTAATATATATATATATATATATATATATGGGGAATGCTAATATACTCCCACCTATTTTTTAGTGGGAGTATATTAGCAACCTACACCAAAATTTTAAGACAAAAAAACCACTCATTTCTTTTGATTTGATTAATTTGTACAAAGGATATTATAGTAATTTAATTTAATTTTAAATGAAAATAAATATTTTTTCTCTCTTATTAATTTCATTTTCCAAATTCATTTATTTTTCTATTAATTAATTTTTATTTGTTAGGGAGGAGACATCATGAGAGATAAGAGAGAAATGAGTTAAAGAAGAAATTTAATAGGAGAGAGATAAATAAGTTAGAGAAATAATTTAATAGGAAAGAGAAATGAGTTGGAGAAGGAATTTAATAAGAGAGAGAAATAACTTAGAGAATAAAGTTAATAAGAGAGAGAATATTTATTTTCATGTAAAATTAAATTAAATTATTATAATATCCTTTATACAAATTAATCAAATCAAAAGAAATGAGTGATTTTTTTGTCTTAAAATTTTGGTGTAGGTTGCTAACATACTCCCACTAAAAAAATAGGTGGGAGTATATTAGCATTCCCCTATATATATATACGAGGAGAGTTATAATTAAACTGGTATAACTTTTACTAAATATTAAACCGTTCAATAACTTTATATTAATTGTGAATTTTGTAAATCCAACCGTTATATTGAAAGTTCACATCATTTTATATGTGTATATCAAATTTTGTTAAAAATGAAAAATAACTTGAAGGTAATCAAAATGTTCATATTTTAGTGTATTTTGAAATGAATATATTACGTCAATTTTGTTTTATAAAAATGAAGTATCAAATCATATTGGATTAATATAAAATTTTATATATATGATCTAAGAGATATAAACTTCCAATCTAATGATTATATTTACAAAATTCACATTTAATATAAAATTAAGTTGAATTTCTAATTGATATACTGCATTAAAAAACTTTTATACTGAAATTAACCGTGTATATCAATTAAATTTTCTTTAACATTATTATTTATAGACGATATCTTGCTAATATTACAATTTAAGCTTTTTTTTTTTATAACATCAACTCTCATAGTTATAAAAGTCCTAATCTAAGAGTTATTAAGAAAGTAGAAAAAATTAATTAACATTTAAATAATTTCATTAAACATTTAAATTTCTTATAAAATGATATTATTAAAACTATATTTATTTTATATATTATAATTTTAATTATTTTTGTGTGTCTTTTTTTTAGCACTGCCACAATTAATAAGAAAAGAAAATAACAATAAAAAGAAATGACAAATATTAATATTAGAAGTGAAAAAAAAGTTCATTTATTCATTATTCATGTGATTCAGTAAATTCATTCAATTTATCTATTATAATAAAAATAAATGATGGATCAAATTCAATCCATCATAATTAATAAGCCTTCTACTACTTTTTTAAAATGCATTGAAATTTTTATTAGTTTGAGGTTTGAAAAAATTATTTTAATATAAAATAAAAGTTATAAATATTTTAAAAATAAACTATATAAGAATGTAATGGGTTATAAAGAAAGAAAAGAGAAATAAAGCATTTAAAAAATAAAACTATTTAATTTTTAAAATATTAATTTTATGGATAGATTGAATATACTTCTATAAAAAAATTGTTAAAGAATGAATTAGATATTTTTTTCTTTCTTGAATAAATTAGATGATCAAATTTTTAAGTGAATTTTGAATGAATTTAAATGAATTAATGATTATTTTTATCTAAATTATTATAATTTGTATAAAAAAATTACATATGTCATCTATTTGTCACTTCTAATTAAAACTATATTTAATGTCATTAGATATTCGTGTATATGAATATTCTTTATAAAACTCAATTAAAATATGTCACAACTTAAGGGTGAATAAGTCAACATCAAAGATCTCTATAAAAATTTTATAAAAAAAAAATCTGTCATTCACCATAGAGTTAATTATTGATAATGACAACTCATTTCAGCAAAACTTCTAACTAGAACCATATTGCAATTACCTACTATTAATCAATGACCATTTTTCTCTGGGGTTATGGGCTAAAAGTAAAACTACCGATCTACAAAGTCAAAATAGCTGCATAGAAGACCAATTCAAATGGGCTCATAAAATATATTTAATGGTGAATCGTGGGGTGGAGGTGGAGTTAATAGAAGAAATTACTATTTTATTTTGTGGTAAATGAATGAGGGCAAATTACTAAGCAGCAAGTATAGGGGCAAGAATAGAATATGCATTCTCAATAAATTAAAAAAAAAAAAAAAAAAAAAAAAAAAAAAAAAAAAAAAAAAAAAA